GAGAACAATGCACTTCTGTGGTCTGAGCAGCTCCCCTTGCTGGGCGGATAACTGTTTCAGGCTTACAGATCAATACACTGGTGAGTCTGTACAGCTCCTCATGCTGGACAGATATTGAGCCTGGGTTTATAAATCAATGCACTGAAGTAGTCTGCACAGTTTTCCACTCTGAACAGATTGTTGACTTGTATTGAACAATAAACTAGATTGATGGGCATGGTGCTCCATGTTTAACAGATGTCTCATCTGGGTTTGTGGTGTCTGCAGTGGTTCTGTGAGATAGACTGAGAATGTGATATAAATAACCACTTCAGCTAATCTGGCAACACCTTTATTTTATGTTCTCACTTTTGTGATTGGATCCTCCAAACTGTCACTCCATTAATGTTGAAGTGTGACCATGTTCAGTGCATCAAGTTCGTGAATATCCACTGTCCTGGCAGCAACCACAGCCTTTTCAAGGAAGAGGCAGCCATTCCCATTGCCTTCCAGTATCCATGTAGAAGGAAAGAATGGCGTCATAGATAAGGGCTTTCCCTTTGATACACAGCTCAAAACACCCTCCCACTCACCACTTCTCACCACCAACCAACCACATCAAAATATTCCTTGTGTACTGAGAGCAATGGAGTCACTGGGGACATCAGGGAGCAGACCATCAGGGAGATGGAGCAACACTTCTCCTGTCTGAACTGACCAGAGTGAACCTTGCAATACATTCTGTACCACTAAGTCCTGTAATCAATATCCATTTATGTAACATATAGTCTTTAATTCTTCCTGAAATATTGACAAGTTCACAGTTACCTCCGTTTCTTCCATCTACCAAATTATTTTCAATTGATTGTTATCAAGAGGACTCTCTACCTCCCCTTAATAACTTACTTTCCTGCCTGTCTTAGTGTTATTGACAAATTTTGTTCGAATATATTTGTTCTATTTATTGTAATCGTTGATATAGGATGTAAATAGTTGACGACTCAGAACTGGTCACTGTATCACTGCAATCGTTATTTTCTGTTTAACTGATAAAAAGAAACAAATTTATCCCTTATTTAACTCTATTTCCAGCTCATTGGCCAGTCCTCCCCGTGTTCCCATGTGGCAGCTTTGAAAGGCAGAATTTTCCCTTCCGTTTCCTGTATAAGAGGCATGAGAGATTATGCAAGCTACAATTGCTGACTAACAGGCTCTAATGAATGCCCTCATTCTGTTCCTGCTTTAACAATCTTGATGTGCTGAATAGAGTACTTTAATGTAGGTGTAGTTGTGAATGGTTCTGAACATTTTAGAATCGTCAGCAGACAGCCCACTTCTGACTTTATGATGGAGGGAAGGTAATTGATGCTGTTGATGGTGCACAGTGCCTCATGGATGCCCAATGTCGATTTGCAAGATGCTTTAGAAGAACGGTTTGCTTCACAGGAGGTAACGCCACATAACACAGTGGATGGCACCTTCAGTATGAGAGTGAGACTTTACTTCCACCAGAACTGTGTGCTGGGCACTCCTACAGTTACTATGAGGGATAGGTACATCTGTGACAAGTAGTTCGTGAGGATGCTTCCCCCTTTTTGGTTCACTCATCACTTTCCACAGTCTGGATGTGATGTATTTTAGGTCTCACCCTGCTCAGTCAGTAGTGTGGCCTATGGAGACACTCTTGGTGATGGACATTCAAGTACCACACCCAGAGTACATTCTGTGCCCTTGTCATCCTCAATACTTCCTCGGATTTGTCTTCAAAATCGAGGAGAACTGATTTATCACTGCCAGGTGATGTGGAGGGCAGTAGATGTCCATCATCAGGCGATTTTTGTGACCATTTGTGGCCTATTACCATGAAATTCCTTGGGTTCTAGAATCAATGTTGGCTAATTCCAGGGCAACTCCTTTCCTGATTGTATACAAAGGTGTCATCACCACTCGTGGGTCCGTCCTGTCGGTGGGACAGGATATATCCAGTGAAGGTGATGATGCTTCATGAAAAATTACCCATAAGCTCTGATTCTGTGAGTATAATGATGTCAAACTCTTTCTGGAGCGGTCAAAATGAGGAATAAAGGCAACCATGGAGGAAGGAATAATGGCTTAGGAAGCTGAATGAAAGGTACTCTGTCTCAAAAGTGTGTTGCACTCTCAAATAGATTGTGGAATTCAGTGCACACATTAAGGTAAATGAATATGATGTAATAGCATTAGAGAGGCCTGGTTACAGGGTGGCCTATATTGGGAACTGGATATCCAGAATATTTTATATTTGGGAGTGTTGGGAAAAATGAAACGAGGTGGGTGAGATCCCTAATAACCATACATCAAATGATCAAGGTATTGACTTGACGTTATTGTTTTTTGTATGCAAAGTCCCAGCTGAGTTGAGTTCGTGAAGAGATTTCCACCTTGAGGCTGAGTGTATCTAACTAAACTCACCAGATTAAGTGACGTTCGAGCCCTTGCATGAGAGAATCACAATGGGTTTCCATCACTTCTTACTGCATGCCATTCCCAGAAGAGATCGCCACTGATTGGAGCTTCTGGAATTAACCAGCATCCCTGGCACCAGTGCCAACTTTGAAAGCACATAAATACACTGGAACAAGCTCTGTCAATTCCAATGTAGCCTGCACGACCATTGATATGGAGCCTGCACGTGGCAAGTAGCGAAAATTGCACCCCCCGCTCACCCCAACCAATCCTGCATTGTGGGCAGGCACATGGAGCTCTTCCTAGGTGGTGAGGTGTACAAGCAGGACTTCCTCATTCCCTAGGACCAGTAATGGAAGCCACAACACCAGACCATGCCTGCCTGCTCTGGAGTAGTCACCCAGGTTAGAACAGTCTCACCCATTGCACAGGATTGCACAGTGTTATAGGAAAATTATTATCCTTTTCCACTCTGCCAGTGTAAGGGGAGACCCGTGAGAATCTAGCCACTCCTCCTGAGCTGACGAACAAGAGTCAGCAAGATGATCTCAATATTGATGTGGGGCTCGCGAAACATCTTGCTAAATCTACCATTAATCTTGCCACAGTCCATGTCACTCAGATTACATAGAAAGATTTTGGCCAGAGCTTAGAAACAACAAGGAGAAGTAAATACAAGCAGGATTTGTATATCAAAGTCAAAACAGTACAGCAAATTTTGTGTATGTCATAAATAGGAAATTAGATATGCTAGTACAGAATTTTTTGGCAAAATTCAGCAGATCTGGCATCATCTATAGGAAGAAAGCACAGATAACATTTTAAATCTGGTGACTCTTCATCAGAACAGTTTTCATTTCAGATCGCCAGCATCTGCATTTCTTTATTTTATTTCAGATAGACAAGTATTTTGCGTACTGCAGTATCAGTGGACAAATTCATCTGGGAAGGAGTGAGGGTAAAAGTGCAGGATTTGGGTCAGTTACGGCTGAAGACCCTGTCCACTAGAGTACATGTGGGGAAGTGGAATTCTCGGGTGAAGATAAAGGAGGTCTTGTCGAAGGTACCCCACTGTAATTGTATATCTTCTGAACAGATGTGATGGATCTGGGGAAACTGGGAGAATACGGTCATTCTCAGCTGATCATGTGTTTAGCCACACAGGGAAGCCGAGGCTTGGAGGATTAAAATGCATCAGGATCACAACTGGAGCTAATGACTTACATCCTGTCTAAAGCAGAATGCTAAAATACACTCAGGAGGAGGTCAGTGGATGAACAGGGAGAAGGCAGTAGAATCGGGTTGAAAAACATACCAGCCATGATTGAATGGCTGAGCAAACTTGAGGGGCCAAATGGCCGAATTCTGCTCCTATATCTTATGGTCTTAGGAATAGTGGCAGACGTTTAAGCAAATATATCACTACACTCAGCAAAACTGCTTTCGTAAAGCGAAGGTGAATAATCCGTGGTTCACAAAGATGGTCAACAGTGTATCCAATCACAAACTGAAGCACACAAAGTAGCGATACTACAGCTAGGGGATATATATTTATTTTGAAGAAAGCACCTTTGATTTATTGTAGAGATGAGGCGATTTATTTTCTCAGAGTGTTGTAAGTCTTTGAAACTCTCTCGCCCAGAAAGCAGTGGAGGCAAAACCGTTGAATATTTTTGAGGTACAGATAGGGACATTCATGAATAACAAAGGATTCGAGGATTACTGGGGAGTGGGTAGGAATGTGAAGCTCATGACACAATCAGATCATCCATAATCATATTGAATGGATGAGTAGGTTTGAAGGGCCAATGGCCAACAGATGCACCTTAATTGTATGTTCCTGTGCTTCTAACAAACCATCTCTGTCCCTCCTCATGTGTCATTTTCCTGATTCTGATTTTGTCTGAAGCATGTTTACGTTGTTGTTTTGCACTGCTGCAAGCTTGATGGACGGAAGTGTCTTTATGCCTCAATCACATTGTATAACCGACACTCACCGGAGCATAACATAACTGACATTATTTGTGAATGACCAGACTTCAGGTAATTGACAAGAGATAAGAGCCTGAGGAAAGAGATCCCATTCTAGGGCGATGAAGACACTGCTTCAAAGTCCCCTCAGGCAATTAAAGTGGTGAATACGTTCCCACTGTGTTTACATTTCTTCACTACAGAGGATTGACCATAATTTAGACTAAAATAAATTTCCAACCTCCACTTGTCTTCATGGAACTAGGAGAGAATCCTTCAGGATGGCAATGTTTTCACTCTCAGCATTAGGAACTGTAAGGAAGTGACCTGTGTTTGCTCTCGAGTGATCGAATGCATGGGAATTTTCTAGAAATCATCTGCTCTTGTAGATATACATCTCTGCATTTGGGAAGGGAATGTTTCTTGTGTTTTATGTCTCTTTGTTTTGTAATAGTTCTGACCTTCCCATTTGTTACTTCGGCTTCAATTATTTCAATAAATCTCTGAATACAATTACTCTTTCAAAAGTCTCATTCGGTCCTCAATCAAACTGATAGCTTTACCTCCAGCTTGATGTATAACATGTTTGTTTGCCTTCCTCACAGTTAACGTAGTGACGATCTACATCCTGCTTTATAAAAATTGTGGATTGTCTCCATGTGTCAGACGTTACCTGGGGGCCATGGCAGTGGTGGATCTACTGGTCATTATCCTCGACCTGATATTGAGACACATTCCCATTGTTTATGAGGAACAGTTTGTTTTCCTGAAGTCCATCGGTGTGTGTAATATCCATGCCGTCCTGCTTTATGCAGCCACTGACTGTTCTGTCTGGTTCACCGTCACTTTCACCTTTGATCGATTTGTGGCCATTTGTTGGCAGAAGCTTAAAAGTAAATATTGCAGTGAGAAAACGGCAGCTGTGGTTCTGGGAACAGTGACTGTGCTGAGCTGTCTAAAGAATATTTTCTGGTATTTCATGTTCTCGGGTCGGTATCGGCTGTTGAACGAGCCCTGGTTTTGTAATGTAACAGACGGTGTTTATTTCTCTCGTGTCTGGGCCACAATCGAGTTCCTCCACTACATTCTAACCCCGGCTCTCCCATTTCTCCTGATTCTGCTGCTCAATATTTTCACCGTCAGACACATTTTAGTGACCAGCAGAGCCCGCAGGAGACTCCGGGCTCACACCAATGGGGACCTTCAGTGTGACACTGAATTGCAAAATCGAAAAAAATCCATCATATTATTGTTTGTGATCTCGGCTAATTTCATCCTCTTATGGTCAATATTAATGGTGTTTTCTACATGGAACCGGATGTATTATTTTGGGTATCAGTCTGTTTATCTACATTGGTTCGTGCTAGAATTGGGCTTCATGCTGCAGCTCCTCAGTTGCTTCACAAACACTGTGATTTATGCCGTGACCCAGACAAAGTTCAGAAAGCAGCTGAAGAATGTGCTGAAATATGCCTTTATTCAAATTAATCAACCAATCAAATTCACTAATTAATCAATACATCCAGGAATTTCTCATTTCAATGCGAGTTTTTCAGCAATGAAGCAGCATGTCGCTTTGGGAGCAGGTTGAGGGTAATACTGGTTTGTCCAACTTTCTCATTCAGTTTACAGGGGCACATTTCAATGTTTCTATCAGCTGAGGGGCCAATGAGAAAAGACAGCATTCCATTTTCTGTACCTGTAACTCCAATTTGTAATTCAGAAAAATGTTCATTAAAAAGTGCCAAGCAGCACAGCTAGCTGTGTTTTGTTTGTCTTTGTGTTGAAGAAGCTGAGCAGGAGAGATACAGACTTGCCCCGAAGTCCAGTTCCTAAGGGAATGAGGAGGGGAACGGGGCCGAGCTCAGGAGTTGGCTTTAAGTTATTCTGTCGTTGCTTTCTCCTCTGGGTGACCCACTCTGAACTGGCTTCGGCAGAATTCATCTCTCTCCCTCCATAGTCCCTGTCGAAATCTCTCTTGAGAGCTTCCTCCCATTTGCTCAGTCTCCCTCACTGTCCTTTTTTCTCAATTCTCCTTCACTCTTTCTCTCTCTCTTCCACTATCGATCTCCCTCCCAATCTCTCTCTCTCCAAGTTTCCCTCTCCCAGTTTCCTCACGCTCATCATGCCTTTCTTCCTCTAAACTTCTTTCACGTCCTTTTCATTCTCAACAATATTTTTTCTTTCCCTCCTAACAAGTTTGTCGTGCTCTCCCCGCTGGCCCTCTTTTCCCCTTTAATCTCTCCTATCCCTCCCTCTCCATCTTTGCTTCTGCTGTCTCTCTCCCTCTCGCTCTCCCTTACTCCTTACCTCCCTATCTTCCCGTCCCCCTCCAAAGTCTTCTCTCTCTTTCTCTTCCTCAGTCACAAGATACAATCCTCACAGCTCTGTGGATTGAAAATCACACTTTACCATATTGACTATGTTTTCTTCGGGACCAGGCTCCTGTATGGGAAGGGCAGACTTGTATTCCACCTGATATATGGCTTCAGGTCATTGCTCAGGGAACAGAGGGGAGGTGGGACCACATGTCGTTTCGAGGAATATAGAATGGGTGTGGACATATTAGCCGTTGCTAGGGATAAATTTTGGAATTGGGGCCAGACTGTTGCTCGGGGAACAGAGTCAGGTTTGAACCATAGCTGTTACTAGGGGATCTACTTGAAGGTGTGGCCACAGGCCCTTGTTCGGGGAACAGAGAAGGGTATGGACAAAGAGAAGTTTCTCAGGGAACTGTTTTGGTGAGACAACAGGCTGTTGTTGGGGAAGAAGAGGGCGTGTGGGCAGCAGGCAGTTTATAAGAGAAACGTATGGGTGTTGTACCATTTGCTCTTGCAAGGGGACCAGACTGGAGGTGGGACCATAGGCTGTTGCTATGGGAACAGAGTGCACGTAGTCTAGGAGATTGTATCTGGGGCAACAAAGTGGATATGTGATCACTCGCTATTGAAAGGGTAGCAGCGTGAGTTTGGAACTGCATGATATTGCTAGTGAACAGAAAGGGCGTGGGAAATCATGCCACTGCTAAAGAACACATTAGAAGTACGACCCTCGGTTACTGCTTGGGGAACTGTGTTGGGGTGAGTACACTGGCTGTTGCCAGAGAACAGAATGGTATAGAGTGGAAATAGGTCTGAGACTGTTCTTCTCTGAGAACAAAGCTGGAATGGGAATGAGACAATTGTTCAGGAACAGGATGGGACTATAACTGGAGCCTGTTTCTCAGGGAAGAGAGGAGGTTGGGCAAGTAAGTTGCCAGGTAAATCTGATAAGATTATTCCTGGAATCTATGGTCTGAGGAGCAATGGGATAGACTGTTGTTATGGCAACAGGGTGTTGCACCAAAACCAAAGCGGGAGAGATTCAGGAGCCACTAGTAGAGAATGGAGCCAGAATCTGTCTTGATTATATATTACATAATTTGCAGACCACTTGCATCCTCTTCACAGTTTACTTTCCGACCTATTTTTGCCAATGAAATGCTCAATTTTAAGCCTCAAAGTCACTTGATCTGGAGCTTTTGGAAATCCAAATATTCTTCAGTCAATTCCTGTCCTGTGATTATTGTGTATCTACCTGTTTCTGTTTCCTGTAATATCTGTAAATTGCTACATGTATCAGTTAATCCTTTTGAGTTGGTTCATAGTGTCCATTTTCTCCCCAAGACCCGTGTGAAATCAAAGCAAAACATCTACCATCTTTGTCCCATTCCCTGTCAATAACTGTCAGCCCATCAATTGTCCCATGATATTTGATGACATCATCACATGATCATAAAATCCATACAGTATGGGCACAGGCCATTTGGCTCAAGGAGTCCACACCAAACTTCTGAAGAGTATCCCACCCAGACCCACCCAGACCCACCCCTACCATACTGCACCCTATCCCTGTAACCCTACATTTCCAATGGCTAACACCTAACCTACACAATCTCTGAGCACTATGGATAATGTAGCATGCCAATCCAGCTAACTTGCGCATCTTTGGACTGTGGGAAGAAACCGGAGCACCTGGTGGAAACCCACACAGAAACGGGGAGAGTGTACAAACTCCACACACAGTCGCCCGGGGATGGAATCTAACCTGTGTCCCTGGGCAATGTGAGGCAGCAATGCTAGCCATTGAGCCACTGTGCTGCTCACCACCACCAGCAGCCGCCACCCTCCCCACACCCACAACGCCCCCCCCCAAAAACTGATCGAAAAAAAATGATCACTGATGACTAACTTTGACCTGATACAAAATTCAGTGAGCGCATTTGCATTCGCACAGCATGAGTCTGACGTAAACCTGACATTAGCATTCCGTGATTTATGTGCAAGGATATAAACAATATTGGTTAATAATAAGCGCATCAGTAAAGGACTACTTTCCCCACTGAAACAGTGTCCTGGTTTCTCTCTCTTTCTAACACATGCACATGCACTCACATAAAGAGTTACTATTGGGGATATGGAATGAGCACAGAACGTTGGGTTTTCCAAATATTAAAGCTCTATTGACATACTCGGGATTTAAGTTTAACACAGAACATTCACACAGCTGGGTTAGGCTAAAGACTCTCCTTCGCCCAGCACTGAGAGGCTCCTATCTCACACCGTATTGGAATCAGATGCTATGCTTGGGAGAAAGACATAGCACGTGGGATTAGAACGACTGTTCATGGGGATTTTAAGATCGAGGTAATTCACAGGGAATCAGAGCAGAACAGAGAGAATCAAACAAGGAAATCTTTAGTAAATTTGAGGAACAATTTGGCACTTGTTGAGAATGTAGAGCCACTGATAGTTTGACTCTGTGGTTTCAAACCCTGTGCTCGCCCGTCCTGGGAGTCAGTATTTGATGTGAATTATTTCAAGGAACCTTAACTGTGTATCTGTCAACTGCTATGTGTTTGCTCATTTCTCCAGACAGCCAGTATCTTTTGAATCTGCTCACATCCTACAAAAGAATTCAAATCATATATTCAAATTTACGAAAAATAAACGGTTAGGTAAAAAGAAAGCTGAGAGTACACAAAGATGCAGATATGGACAAGTTAACTGAGTGTAAGGAACTGGTGGGCAGATATGGACAGGTTAACTGAGTGTAAGGAAATGGCAGATAGAATATAATGTGGGGAAAAGTGAATAATTTCATTTGGAATAACAAGAAAAATAGAATATTTCAAATGTTGGTGTTCAGGAAGATTTTACCACTGTGGAATGACATTCATTGGAATATAACACCTTATTGCATCATTCAGGGACATTGTGTTCTACATGGAACATATTTACAGTTCCCCAATAAATTCACTACTTTACTGTCTATTGCGTGAAACCAGCTGTGGGGAGGTGTAGGGGTAGAGAGAGACAGAGAGAGAAAAAAAAGATGAGGACTGATATAGATGAAGACAGACCAGGAGAGACAGTGAGAGTCATCGATTTTGTACAGCATGTAAAGAGATGGTTCGAACAATTGTGTCTGTGCCTATCATCAATCATGCATCTATTCTTATCTCTTTTTCCAGCTCTTGGCACAGATATTGGAAGCTCTGGCATTTCAAGTCTTCATCTAAGTTGTCGAATGTCTTCAGGGTTCCTGCCTCTACATCCTTTAGGCAGTGACCTATAGATACCTACAAACCCTTTTCTCTCTCCCTCCAAGCCCCTATAAACCTCCTCCCCTTTCTGTAAATCTGTACTGCCAGTCATTGATCCCAAGGAGAACAGTTTCTCCCAACTGAACATGTCTGTGTCTCTCAGAGCTTTGTACGTCTCTGTCAGGTTCCATAGCTCCCACTTCCCCACCCCACTCAACCAGTCTTCTCTGCTGAATGAAAATCAACTCCAGCCTATCCAGTCTGTCTTCATAGCTGAACCACTTCATCCGAGGCAGCATCCTGGCAAATTCTCTCTGTACTTCCTTTAGTGCAATCACATATGTCCTACCATGTAATGATGAGAACTGTACACAATATTCTATCAGTGACCAGACAGACACTATATGCAGCTCCATCATAACCTACTTGCGATTGTATTCAATATTTCGACTAAGAAATGCAACTATCCCATTTACCTTCCTAACGACTGTTTCTACTCATCCTGCTCCCTTCAAGGATCTGTGAATATTCATGTCAAGATGCCTCTGATTCTAAAGGATCCTATCACTTTCCTATCATTTCCTAAAGTCCTATCATAGCTCCTCTAATCATCCCTCGTGCATTCAAAGTTTAGAGCGACGGGTTTTTAATCAGGAAGGGAATCAAGGGTGAGGAGGAAACGAAAGGAAAGAGGAGCTGAGGATCATCGGATCAGCCAAGGTCTCATTGCTGGTCAGAATGGCGTACTTGTACGACTACATCTCATGTCTAATCGATCTCTGATAGGGGGCCGAGGAGAGAGAGAGAGAAAACAATGAGGCTTTCCAAAGCTGAATAGTTCTGAATGTCGGTATAAAATGAGAAGTCATAGAGCTAAAAAGTGAAAAAGCTGGAGATCCAGATCAAGAGGTGTCCAAGAGACAGACCGT